TAAGTTAGGCTCCTATACAATTACTACGGCAAACGATACGATTACGGAGTTGAACTCTCGCTTCCCTAATAATTGCTGTAGCAACTCCACGTAGAAGGCAAGTATAAAATTATCTAATAATTGCTCTATTATATTGCCCTCGTTACTTTTATCGAAACTAACCTCTTTTTGGCCTAGTTTACTACGTCGTAGCGTTGTGCTCTACTATTCTCTAACTATTATATTACCTTCGCTCTTTTTAATTCGTGTATTATCAACTAACTCTATCGTAGAACGCTTTATATCAACCTACTTTCGCGCTTAGCCCGCCGTTATTGTAAATATTTTCTTCTACGCTAAATAAGACTTCTCTATAATATTCTAGATATAGTAAATTAAATTCTAGAAAACGCTAATATAATTCTACCTTGACTTCCCGTTCTACAGCGGCTTAATAGGATCCGTCGCTATCCTACCTCGCTTAAATATATTGATTAGCTTTAAATCTATTCTACCGACCCTCCCCTACTTTTCTATATCCTCGTAATCTAGCTCCTTTATGCCGCCGCGGAGGACACGAGCGATACTATAGTAGATTGCGCGTAAGACGGGCGCTTCGTCGCTAGTTGGTAGCCGGTAGGATACTAGAAGCTCGTCGACGTTTAGGCCTTAAAGGTAAGCCTAAAAGCGGGTTGAGCGCTGCTATCCTATAAGCTCGGAAATATACTATATACCTTCTACTAACTTGTAGCGCCTAAGATATTCCTTTTAAGCCTCTTCGAAGCCGCGCTTGAGCTCCGCCGCTGTATCTCCGTCCCCTATACTAAACCGTAAAGGTCCTACAGGTCGAGCCTCTAATAGAAGCTACTAGGATACTTAGACGCTACTCTTATTATCTCTAGGTATATCTACAATAAAGTAGTCGATATACTACGGCTTCTTAAATAAGGTCTATATACGGACCTAGGAGTAGACGGCTATATTTACTAGTACCTAGCTCCCTTTATTCGCCTTACCCGGTTTCCTCCCTCTAGTAGTAGCTTTAATCCCGTACTCCGATCGGCCGTGCCTTTATATCTTACCCTCGTTCGTAGAGATATACTAGTACTCGCTACCGCCCCTATCGCACGTCTAGGCTCTTTGTAGAGGGAGACCGGGAATAGGCCGGATACGATCTACTAGCCGTCTAGTATCCTACGTATTCTAAGATATATTACTTGCTCTAAGTAGCGCTATAAATCCCTACCTTTCGGCGCGGCTAAGATTATACTTCTTTAAGAGATACTCGCCTATATTCGCGAGGACGTAGGACGAACCGTAGACTAAGTAGACTACGATACCGATCTCGTCTAGTACGAATAGAAAAGACGGGAGAACGTTCGACTTGTTTTATAGAGTTATCCTAATAATTTAACCGGATTCTTTATCTATTAATTAATAAATAGTAATCCTTTCTTATACTTTATAATTCGTATATAGTAGGGGGCCTATAGGTGTAGTTCTACGGGGAATTCTAGAAGCTAGGAGGTCGAAATTCCGGACGCTAGGAAAGTGCCGCCCGTGCGCGCCTACCTAACTAATAGTATTGCCGGGTAGTAACTACCTAAGCGTTATATACCGCTTAGGGAATTCTAGAAGCTAGGAAGTCGAAATTCCGGACGCTAAGAAAGTACTACCTGTACGCGCTTACCTAACTAATAGTATTACCGGGTAGTAACTACCCGGGCGTTATATACTACTTAGGTTAACTAAAGCGATTTTTATTATTTACCCCTTACTAATACTAAATTCTATCTTAGAGTATTAACTATAGATATATATATATACCGTAGATATATATACTAAAACGTAGTCTTAACGTATACGATACGCGTTAATTTCCGTAATACCTAAAAAAATCTACTAATAAATCTCG